TAGTTGTGGCACATGGGCTTAGCTGCCCTGTAGCATGCAGGATCTCCCTAGGCCAGGGATCCAACCCATGTCCCCTGCATTCACAGGCAGATTCTTAACCACTGGACCACAAGGGAAGTCCAGTAAAAATACATTTTTAGTGACAAAGTAAAGTGATAAATTGGGAGGGGAAACGAGATTTTTATGCTTGTATACTCTCTGGTAGATCCATATTTAAATTCAATTACTGCTGATTTTTAAAGGATTTTAAATTTTTTCATAATTAGTGCAAAACAACTTGGCAGATTAAATTCTGCCTGTTTCAAATACTTTATTCTCAGGAGAAATTTGCAGTTAACTTATATAACAGGCATACCCTGAGTCTTCTTTCAGAAACTGACACCAATATTGTGTATTTTTGTAGCCCAAAGGAACTTGCCCAAACAGCTTATTTCTTTTTAAAGAAAGAAATGAACAGCAATTTTCCTTCAAATCATTTCTATCTTTTCAATTCTTTGTGTGGGAGGTGGGGGGGGTTCCATTACTAAGTGAATTTTTCCATACAAATAAATCAAGACTTCCTAATCATCATGAGTTCTAATGATGAATCTTGAAGACCTTTTAGTATATGGAAACTTGTTCACACAGTAACCATGGCGGTGGTGATTTAGTTGCTAAGTTGTATCCAACTCTTTTCGACCCCATGGATGGCAGCCCTCCAGACTCCTCTGTCTACGGGATTTCCCTGGCAAGATTACTGGAGCGGGTTGCCTTTCCTTCTCCAGAGGATCTTCCCAACCCAGGGACTGAACCCAAAATAATCATAGTCTTCTGGAAGTGTTCCCTTTTGTAAATTTATCACAGCAAAGGCACTCAAAGAGAAAAACAAAAGGCATAAATGTGAAGCCCGTGAACCATCAGCCTCCCAAAAGGGAAGGATTGATGCTGGGCTTCATAGCACCTGGTATCTAACAGGCTTTTAACAAATAAACATTTATTTTTTGAATGAATGGGTGGGTGGATGGTTGGCATCACCAGCTAAGACGAAACTATAATAAGCAAAAGATAACAGTTCCAGGGCTATAGAGCATTAAAGAATAGCTATAAGAACCTGGTAAGGGGATCCACTGGCTTAACAGAATGTCAAGTTAGCATTATCTGACATCAAGTTAGTTAAGACGGAGGTTGTTCTTTATTTCCAGAATGAGTCGTGGATTTATTCTAATCTGTAGAGCTAGAAAGATTGTTCATACTCACACAGAGCGAGAAGGCAACTCCAACAGAAAGTGGGTGCTGTTGAGCGGCTAAGTCCTGTCCGACTCTGCGGCTCCACGGACTGCAGTGCACCAGGCCCCCCAGAACACGGACAGGCCTTCTAAACTGGGATATTCAAGAGCTTCACTACCCAGTTGTAGTTATTACAGCTCTGCTGGCTTCCCATTGTGGACGCCACACTTAGTCTCTCAGTCCTGTCCGACTCTTTGCAACTCCATGGACTGTAGCCCACCAAGCTCCTCTGTCCATGGGGATTCTCCAGACAAGAATACTGGAGTGGGTTGCAGAGTGGGTTGCCACGCCCTTCTCCAGGGGATCTTTCCAATCCGGGAATCAAACCAGGGTCTCCTGGATTGCAGGTGGAGTCTTTCCCAGCTGAGCTACCAGGGAAGGACTCTGCAAGACCCAAATAAAGTTCATACAGATCATTTAGAAAATTAGATGACTTTATGAATCCTTTCTCCTCCAGTCCATAGATGGATTGCAACAGAGGTGGCTGCCAAATCCTTGAGTTCTCAGTCTGTTCCCAGAGCTGGTTCTCCTAAAACATATTGCTTTCCTGAGTCTCTAGCAAGAAGGCCAAGGGTTTGACTGATGGACTCAAGTCCTGAAAATAACTGAGGAAAGGAAAGGAAAGTGAAGTTGCTCAGTTGTGTCCGACTCTTTGTGACCCCATGGATTGTAGCCTACCAGGCTCCTCCATCCATGGGATTTTCCAGACAAGGGTACTGGAGTGGGTTGCCATTTCCTTCTCCAGGGGATCTTCCCAACCCAGGGATCGAACCCCGGTCTCCCACATTGCAGGCAGACGCTTTACCATCTGAGCCACCGGGGAAGCAAATAACTGAAAATAACTGATATCAGAAAATAACTGATCTGGCGGCCAAAGGGAGACAGGACAGTTCTTCGACTCAACCCTTGTCATTTAGCCTTGTCACGTGCCTGAATCAAAGCAGGAGGGCAGAGTCTGATGCTGAACATTCCGCCAACCACCACAGACCCCCACTGCATCCCCAGTGATGGTGGGAGGAGGAGGCAGCCCAGGAACTGCCGGCTCTGACTAATTCTAAGCCACAAGGCTCAGCGGCGGCGGAACTGCCGAGCTGGGCTTTACTTTGCCTCAGGTGCCACTGGCAGGGTTGTCAGCTGAGCAGGAATTGCTGCTGAATCTTTATTCCTGGCAATGAGGCGAGAAATAGCAAAGGCACAGCGGGATCTTTGGATCACAGGTTGGGTTTGCCAGGCTTAGGGTTGGGGAGAGAGACAGTTGTCTTTTAATGCACTAACTGAACAGTCAGGCTGGAAGTCAAGATCTCTAAAATCGAAGAGGGAATACCATTTTTTGTCGGCTTCCAGTTCTCAGATGAGGCTGTTCTTTCAAGACAAGTAGCAATGCTCTTTTAGGTGAGCAAATGAAACAAGGAAGTCCTCCCCTTCCTGAAAAAAAGGTAAAAATCATACAATTTAAATAATTTAAATACAAATTCTCTCTTATTTTTATAGCCTGCCTATAAACTTAAGAGTGGGGACCCTGTTTTCCCTATATTTTATTTCTTATAGTACAATTTATGGTGCCACAAACACAGCAAGGAGTGAACAAATATTTTTGGAATGAGTGACAGAAGACAAACCCAGCATAGCTCAACTCTCCATTAAACAGAAATGTAGGCCTAAAAAAGACACACAGAATAAAAGCTTTGCAACTAGTATATTCGGAAGGAAATACCCCTAGCAAATAAAAGGAAGACTTCAAGGTAAGAGCACCTGAGCAAATCCTGCCCCATCACCTTCTCTCTCTGTGATCATTGGGAAATAGCCCCATTTCTTTTTTAAAAAACTTTTTTTTTTTGCTTTAAAAAAAAAAATCAAAATATAGTTGATTTGCAATGATTCAGGTGTACAGCAAAGTGATTCAGTTTTACAGGTAGAAATTATCCCATTTCTTGAGCCTGAATGGCAGACTTTGCAGGACTGTCATGATCTGGTGAAGACGTAAGTCAGATTATATCATTTATCTGCCCCAAGACCTCCCTCCAATGACTTCCCGTTGTGTGCCAGGTAAAAGCCAGAGTCCTGACAGGAGCAGTCTGCCCACTCTGCCCTCACCTTTGACTTTCTGAGGGAGAAAGGCTAAGACAGATCCTATACATCTTGTTGATTTCTTTCAGTTATTTTCTGTTTTCATCCTAGAAGGTAAGCTCGGTGGGGACTGAGAGGTCATGAACTTTATCCGCAACATTTTGAATGGTGCCTGGGACTCAGTAACTATTTGTTGAATGAATGAGTGAGCGTCCAGCACTTAGGAGCAGCCTGTTAACTGGGCATGTTCACCATGAGTTGGCCCTTAACCGATCATTGAATCTGCAGATACGAAACCCAAGCACACGGAGAGAAAACTGCCTTCTTGGCGCTGGACCACTTTACACAAGGCACTAGAGCATCCGGGAATGCCAGTGTCCTCGGGGCTCCTGAAACCACCTCCCCTACCCCCTCCCTACCCACCATGGATACTGAGGAACTACTGTGTTCTTATCATCTAGGCTCTCAGGAGAAAATAAACTAAGTACTGTGTGCTTCACGTTAGACACAAAACTCAGTCTTCGAAGAACAAAGTCATAAACATTTACAGTGAGATTTTTTTTTTTAATTAACATCTTCTTTCTTTACTTTTGCTTGCCCTGGGTCTTCGTTGCTGTGTTTGGTATTTCTCTAGTCATGGTGAGTGGGAGCTACTCTCTAGCTGTGGTGGGCAGGCTTCCCATTGTGGTGGCATCTCTTGTTGTGGAGCACAGGCTCTAGGCATTCGGGTTCCAGGAGTTGCAATCTGTGAGCTCAATAGTTATGACACATGGACTAGTTGCTCCGCAGCACGTGGAATCTTCCCAGACCAGGGGTCAAACCTGTGTCCCCTGCATTGGCAGGCAGATTCCTATCCACTGTACCACCAGGGAAGTCTGCAAAATGTTTTTCTATAATATTTTTAAGACCACAAAAACTGATAAAATGAGAAGGAGACACAGACCACAGAGTAAAGAGTAGCTCCAAGAAGAACCTTGAAATGTAGGAAGGTGTCAGGATATGCGCTGGGAAGAGCTAAGATACAAGAAAATGGAGCCAAGGAGGCAGAGAAGGAAGAGCTTCAGAGAGAGACAGGGACCATTGATTACACGTTTTTGCAATGCCATCTGCAACTTTACAACTTTGAGATACCAGTTTGAGCACATTAAAAGCTCTGCTGTCTTCCCTTGCAGATATTTTCCTCAGCACATTGCCAGCATGGCAATTGCATTGATTCCATCCGGTGGTTCCTAAGAGGCATGCTTTCTCAGACATGCAGATAGCAAACATTTTTTTAGAGTTGCTAATATAAAAAAATTAATTCACGATTGCACATCTGGAAAACCCAAATGAATCAAAAGAAAAGCTACCATGGGTAGTAGGAGGGAGTCTGGGGGAGTTGAGAGATGTGATCGGTAGAGCTTCCGAGAATAGCACGCGGAGGACAAGGTTCTGCGAAGAGAGAGACTCAGAGGCAGTGTGGGAAGTGTAGTCCAGTTGGCTTAGCAAATGATTCGGGGTGGTCGCCGAGGTTCCGGAAAGAGACTGAACAGGCCTGAAAAGAGACTGTGACTATGCCTTTTAACTCAGTAGCTGGAGCACAGGAACTGTTTGTTGAATGAATGACCTATCCATTGAGGACCTATTTAGACCTTGAGGATAACCCTGTGAACTGTGTTGATTCCATTATGCTGCGACGAAAACCAACCCGCCTGGAGCTGAAACTTGATGATATTGAGGAATTTGAGAGCATTCGAAAGGACCTGGAGACCCGTAAGAAACAAAAGGAAGATGTGGACATTGTAGGAGGCAGTGATGGAGAAGGTGCCATTGGACTCAGCAGTGATCCCAAGAGCCGGGAACAAATGATTAATGATCGAATTGGTTATAAACCCCAACCAAAGCCCAACAGTCGTTCATCTCAATTTGGAAATTTTGAGTTTTAGAGGTGGATTATCTTGCGTGCCAGAGCCCTGGAATGGAGTACAATGATGGCGGAAACACAAACAAGATTTAGAGAATGGAGTGCTCTCAGTCAGGCAGAATGTTTTATCTCCTGCAGAGAAATACTTCTGCGTGAGATTACGGATGCTAACCTTTCACTCTGAAAGGTGAAATTCAAACTCTGGTTTGTCTCTGGAAAATGATTTGGTAAAACTTGTCTGATTTTTGTTTTTAAAAATAAATATATTTTTGGGAAAAAAAAGAAAAGCTACCATGATAATAAAAGATTTAGTCAGGTGGTGATTTTTTTAACAAAAGTAAATAAATAAATACCCACTATGTAAAATAATAAAAAAACTAGGAAGATATAAAAGATCATACTTAATGATGGTGGGAAAGAGAAGACATATATCTTTCAGGCATAAATCTTATGAAGAAGTATCTGAAACACATATGAGGAAAACGGTAAAACACTCCTGAAAAGACACAAAAATAGAAAAACAAATGGGAAGACACTCTATATTCTTGGGCTGGAAGATTTAGCATCAAAAAAGTATGAGTTCTCAACAAGCCCATGTGTGAATTTAACGTGATCAGAATTTTAAAATGTATTATGTTTTTCCCCCTCTGGATCAGAGAGGTTGATTATAAAGATCATCTGTGATAACAAACAAGTAAGGATAACACCCTCAAAAAATCACAGGAATGAGCGAGAAAGCAAGGTGGACTTATCAGATATTAAAATATACTATAAAGCTTCTATAATTTAAAAGGTGTTGCATAGGTGCTTGAATAAACAAACATGTTTGTTGTTCAGTTGCCAAGTCTTGTCTGATTTGTTGCACCCCATGGACTGCAGCACGCCAGGTTTCCTTGTCCTTGGCTATCTCCTGAAGTTTGCTCAAATTCATGTCCAGTGAGTCAGTGATGCTATCTAACCATCTCGTCTTCTGCCACCCTCTTCTCCTTTTGCCCTCAATCATTCTCAGCATCAGGGTCTTTTCCAAGGAGTCAGCTCTTCGAATCAGGTGGCCCAAGTATTGGATCTTCAGCTTCAGCACCAGTCTTTCCAAAGAATAAATACTGAATGGACAGAGGAGCCTGGCACGCTACAGTCCATGGGGTGGCAAAGAGTCAGACATGACTGACCATGCATGCACACACACACACACACACACACACACACACACATTTCTTGGAAAATAGGCTTTTGCATGTCTAGAGCAGAAATACATAAACTGAGTTTGAATATTTTTTCCTATCTGGAAAGCCACACTATCAAAGGTAAGCTAGGATCTACCAAAATAGCTTAGGATCCAAGTGAAAACAACCCAAATGTCCATCACCTGGTGGACAGCTACATGAACTGTGGTACACCCATGTTGCTGTTCAGTCACTAGTCGTGTCTGACTCTTTGCCACCCTGTGGGCTGCAGCACCTAGGCTTCCCTGTCCTTCACCACCTCTCAGAGCTTGCTCAAACTCATGTCCACTGAGTCGGTGATGCCATATAGCCATCTCATCCTCTGTTGTCCTCTTCTCCTCCTGACTTCAATCTTTACCAGCATCAAGGACTTTTCCAATGAGTCAGCTCTTCACATCAGGTGGTCAAAGTACTGGAGCTTCAGCTTCAGCATCAGTCCCTCCACTGAATATTCAGGACTGATCTCCTTTAAGATGGACTGGTTGGATCTCCTTGCAGTCCAGGGGACGCTCAAGAGTCTTCTCCAACACCACAGTTCAAAAGCATCAATTCTTTGGTGCTCAGCTTTCTTTATGGTCCAGCTCTCACATCTATATATGACCACTGGAAAAACCATAGCTTTGACTATATGGATATTTGTTGGCAAAGTGATGACTCTGCTTTTTAATATGCTGTCTAGGTTTGTCATAGCTTTTCTTCCAAGGAGCAAGTGTCTTTTAATTTCATGGCTGCAGTCACCATCTGAAGTGATTTTGGATCCCAAGAAAATAAATTGTCTCACTGTTTCCATTGTTTCCCCATCTATTTGCCATGAAATGATGGGATCAGATGCCATGATCTTAGTTTTTTGAATGTTGAGTTGTAAGCCAGATTTTTCACTCTCCTCTTCCACCTTCATCAAGAGGCTTTCTGCCATAAGGGTGGTATCATCTGCATATCTGAGGTACACCCAAAGAATGGAGTATTATTCAGTAATAAGACCAAGAAATGTAGTACTGGTATCTGCTGTAATATGGATGACCTTTGAAAACATTTTGCTAAATGAGGGAAACCAGACACAAAAGACCACATACCATATGAATTCTACATATATGGATTATCCAGAATAACCTTAATAGGAGACAGAAAGTTTATTAGTGGTTGCCTAGATTTGGGAGTGGGGGGTGGTATGGAGAGGAAGGAGGTAAGTTGATGGAAACTGGGAGTGATGGCTAATGTGTACATGGTATCTTTGGGGGAAAATGAACATATTCTAAATTTGATTGTGAGGATGGTTGTGCAGCTGTGAATATACTAAAAACCATTTAATTCTATCCTTAAAATGGGTGGATTTTATGGTATAGGAATTATATTTATATATATATATACACATATGTATATATATATCAATAAAACTGACTAACAAAATTTCAGGGACCTACCTGCTCAAAGACAGCACATTCAATCCTCGATAAGAAATGATAAATGCATTGGTTTGAAATATGTCAAAATGGTCAAGTCCTTAAATCATAATAATATGAAAAAGAAAAAAATCTTGGTTATCTTTGAGAAATGTCTGGGAAGCAACTCATTATTATTAATATTAAAATCAGGAAGTAAAAAGAAAAAATACAAGGCTTTATCCTGGTGTTTCCTAAATGAACTGTCTCTGAAGATAATTAAATAGGTGATGAGGGAAATTTTCCTTATAGAAATAATTCAACTAATAAAAGAAGACTAAAGAGAGAACATCACCATTTTGCAATCTCCAATGAATTAATGTATTTGGTCAGTCAGGGATTGTTCCTACAGCCCGCCAGCTCAGAGTGATTTTTATATTTTTAAAGAGTTCTAAAACAAAACAAAGGAGGACATGCTCTTCCACAGTGCTCAGCACCACGGAGAGAGCCAGGCGATCTTTGTGTACCTCTATTGGAAGGAATTATAGGTACCAAGGGAACATTTCATGCAAAGATTAGTTCAATAGAGGACAGAAATATCGTGGACCTAACAGAAACAGAAGATATTAAGAGGTGGCAAGAATACACAGAAGAACTGTACAAAAAAGATCTTCATGACCCAGATAATCACGATGGTGTGATTGCTCACCTAGAGCCAGACATTCTGGAATGTGAAGTCAAGTGGGCCTTAGAAAGCATCACTATGAACAAAGCTAGTGGAGGTGATGGAATTCCAGTTGAGCTATTTCAAATCCTGAAAGATGATGCTGTGAAAGTGCTGCACTCAATATGCGAGCACATTTGGAAAACTCAGCAGTGACCACAGGACTGGAAAAGGTCTGTTTTCATTCCAATCCCAAAGAAAGGCAATGCCAAAGGATACTCAAACTACTGCACAGTTACACTCATCTCACACGCTAGTAAAGTAATGCTGAAAATTCTCCAAGCCAGGCTTCAGCAATACGTGAACCATGAATGTCCAGATGTTCAAGCCGGTTTTAGAAAAGGCAGAGGAACCAGAGATCAAATTGCCAACATCCACTGGATCATCTAAAAAGCAAGAGAGTTCCAGAAAAACATCTATTTCTGCTTTATTGACTATGCCAAAATCTTTGACTGTTTAGATCACAATAAACTGTGGAAAATTCTGAAAGAGATGGGCATACCAGACCACCTGACCTGCCTCTTGAGAAACCTATATGCAGGTCAGGAAGCAACAGTTAGAACTGGACATGGAACAATAGACTGGTTCCAAATAGGAAAAGGAGTATGGCAAGGCTGTATATTGTCACCCTGCTTATTTAACTTCTATGCAGAGTACATCATGAGAAATGCTGGGCTGGAAGAAGCACAAGCTGGAATCAAGATTGCCGGGAGAATTATCAATAACCTCAGATATGCAGATGACACCACCCTTATGGCAGAAAGTGAAGAGGAACTAAAAAGCCTCTTGATGAAAGTGAAAGACAAGAGTGAAAAAGTTGGCTTAAAGCTCAACATTCAGAAAACTAAGATCATGGCATCTGGTCCCATCACTTCATGGGAAATAGATAGGGGAACAGTGGAAACAGTATCAGACTTTATTTTGGGGGGCTCCAAAAATCACTGCAGATGGTAATTGTAGCCATGAAATTAAAAGATGCTTGCTCCTTGGAAGGAAAGTGATGACCAACCTAGATAGCATATTAAAAAGCAGAGACATTACTTTGCCAACAAAGGTCCATCTGGTCAAGGCTATGGTTTTCCCAGTGGTCATGTATGGATGTGAGAGTTGGACTGTAAAGAAAGCTGAGCACCGAAGAATTGATGCTTTTGAAATGTGGTGTTGGAGTAGACTCTTGAGAGTCCCTTGGACTGCAAGGAGATCCAACCAGTCCATCCTGAAGGAGATCAGTCCTGGGTGTTCATTGGAAGGACTGATGCTGAAGCTGAAACTCCAATACTCTGGCAACCTCATGCAAAGTGTTGACTCATTGGAAAAGACCTTGATGCTTGGAGGGATTGGGGGCAGGAGGAGAAGGGGATGACAGAGGATGAGATGGCTGGATGGCATCACCGACTTGATGGGCATGAGTTTGAGTAAACTCCGGGAGTTGGTGATGGACAGGGAGGCCTGGCGTGCTGCGATTCATGGGGTCGCAAAGTCAGACACGACTGAGTGACTGAACTAAACTGATTAGAAGGAAGGGGGCTTCCCTCATAGCTCAACTGGTAAAGAATCCGCCTGCAATGCAGGAGACCTGGGTTCCATCCCTGGGTTGGGAAGATCCCCTGGAGGAGTGCATAGCAACCCACTCCAGTATTATTGCCTGGAGAATCCCCACGGACAGAAGAGCCTGGTGGGCTACAGTCCATGGGGT